GAACAGGGTTTAACTGAGCAAAGAATGAGTCCTGAGTTGTGCAGACCCCTGAAGCAGGACAGGTTCTGAGAGCTGAACTCCATTTCGAAGGCAGGGAGCATTCATCACCTGGGAGGGCAGCTCAGAGCCAGTGGGATTGTTCATAGCTTGACATTTGCCTTTTGTGAACCTGGTCTGATCGGTTGGCTGCCAGTGATTGAAGTTCAGCTGCTGTGATTGGCTGAGACTCAGCTATTTATTACAAAAGCTTACTTCTAAGTTAGGCTTTCGCTTAGGTTATAGTATGTTCCATAAGGATGCAAGGGATGGGGGCATACTCAGGCCAAGTTTAGTTTAATTTGACACCGGATTACCATACCTAAAGAGTGAAGAAAATCAAGTATGATATCATCTTAGCTTTTTGAAAGTCAAAAATAGTTTGCCTCCCCCACTCCTTGTAGTCCCCCCTTATCTTTAGTTTAGCTTTCTGCAGTTTCAATTACCCAAGGTTAACCAAGGTCTTAAAATGTTAAATGGGAAATTCCAGAAATAAACAATTCATAGGTTTAAAATGACTTTTGTTATAGAGTGTTGTTATAATTGGTCTGTATTATGATTAGTAATTGTTAATCTCTTACTGTACCAAATTTATAAATTAAACTTCACCATAGGTATGTATGAGTAGGAAAAAAATTAGAATATGTAGGGTTTGGTTCTATCCATGGCTTCAGGTATCTGCTGAGGGTCTTGGAACTTCCTACAAGTAAGGGAGCTGATTGTATTATTAACTTCAAAGACTCTTTAGTGCTTCTTAGAGAACTCATGCTGGGAATTACTATACAGCATATGCTGCTTTCTCAAATCACTCAGAGCTGTCAGTGCCCCCAGGGAACCAATGTAACTTTAGATGTAGCACCCAGGGCCCTCTGCCCGTCTCTCCCTCTCTCCTTCCCTCCCCTTGTCCTCATTTAGTTCTCCTTATGGCATAGGGCAAATAGTAGCAGTGTTTATATTGTTTAAGACTTGACTGATAATAACCTACTATTCTACACCTTTTATAAATCAAACGTGGTTTTGAACCTAAACTGAATTTAACAACAATGATACAAAGAAATTTAGATCAAATTTTCCTAAATAAAATGTTGGCGGAAGGGTTTAACATATTAAAAAAAAACCTCACTAACTGGATAGGGTTTCCCAGGTGCCCTGCAGCCAGACGCAACACAAAACAAACTGTTAATACAGTGATTCTCGAGATTTGTGGTTCTCAAGATTTTCATTTCATGCCTCATTTAAAAAATAATGAACTGAAGCCTGCTACTCATGGTCCCTTGGAGATACTTGGCCTTTAACCCAAGGGAATCAATATCTTGACACACCTAAGACCCATTTGCAGTTCACCAGTTGAGAAGGTCCATATTTATCTAATTAACTGGAAAAAATTTTTTAAAATCATGATTATCTTAATAAGTAGCAGGGGAATCAATAAAAGTGAATTTTTGTTTCTTACTAGAATCTTGATGGGGTGGTGTTCAGGGAATGTATCAAATGTGATCAAAATATACAGTGAGTGTTTAAATTTAAAAATTTATTACAGTAAAATACAGATTTCCATTAATCCCCCTCAAAATATTTCACTCACTTTAAACACACCTATCCCATCGTTCTTGGCACTTTCTGAAGCAGTTCTGGAAGTCCTTTTTTGTGTTTCTATGACGTATGATAAAAAAGTATAAGGAATGCTGCTGCTGAATGCTATCCAAGAGAAAGGCAGGCTCATAAAAACACTCGTGTGTCCTCACCTACCTTCACTGGGTCTGGTACCATGATATTTCTAGCTCTTCCCCAAAGTCAAAAGGACCATGAAAGGTAAACATTTTGAATCAGTTTACAACATCAAGGCAACCACAATACTGCAACTAAAGACAGTCGTGAAAGAGGACTTCCAGAACTGCTTCAGAAAGTGGCAAGAATGATGGGATAAGTGTGTTTAAAGTGAGGGAAAGAATTTTGAGAGGGATTAATGGCAATGTGTCTGTTAGGGTGTGTCTAGATGTCCCCCCAAAGCCTCATGCAATCATGGGGTGGGCTTCTAGAATTTATGATTGATTCATTGTCCAATGCTTGGATTATGGGTGTGAGTGCTACACCCACCCTGGGGCGGGTAGTTTGTATGCAGTGTAAGGGAGAGAAAGAGGCTTACCCACTGCCGCTGTCCCCTTTATGCTCTGGTTGCTTTTGCTGGTTTCTACCGCCATGAACTGTTGCCCTCTACCATGTGCCTCTCTGCCTTGGAGCCAGCTGAGTATGGACTGAAACCTCCACAAAGTGTGAGCTAAATAAACCTTTCCTTCCTTAATTTTGTGCATCAGGTATTTTGTCTCGGCAATGAGAGAAAAGCAAGACAGTGTCTTTTGCTGTACTAAGCTTTTAAAAAGATTAAACATTCACCAGGTTTTTCAATTATACTTTTTATCTTTAAAACTTGTGTGAAAACCTTGATTGAGATGCATTCCTTTTAGTGCCTTTGGTACCAATGTCTGCAGCCAGCATATGTCTGGCTGTGTAGTAGTGGCTGGAGACTGTGAAGGTGCTTATTCGCAGAAGGCATGTTCCTGTTTATTCTGCTATGCTCAGATAAAGATCTCTTGAGTCATCCTTTCGGGCTGGAGGAGACAATGAGAGAGGCACTGGCCCTTGTGCCTGGTCACCAGGCAACACTGCCCTCTGCGTCTGCTCTGTTGCCCAGGCACATGTTACCCTGACCAACCACAGCATCACATGGGGCAGAAACGTGCCTGCTCATAGACCAGGCAATGTGCCCAGCCTTAGCCCTCCTGTTGATAAGTTCAGAGAACAGCCACTGTGCCCTGCCTGAAAGCCCAGCTGGCTCTGTGTCTCCCATTGTCCCCGAAAAAGGGCTTAATCTTTGCAGCCCAGCCTCAGCATCAGAGTCTCTCAGCTGGTGGGAAGACTCCGTGTAGGTTTTGTGGTGGTGAAGGGATTCTCTGGCTGCTGCATGAGCCACATGGGAATCTTTGTTTCTCTTTGGGAATGTGCTTTACATCTGGACACTGTCAGTGGAGCTCTCAAAGATGTCTCCAATTCAGGGCCAACCCATAGAGGAATTCTTCTTTTTTTTGGTGCTGGGAATTGAACTCAGGACCTTGTACTTCCCAGGCAGGCACTTGTGCCGCTGAGCTAGATCCCCAGCCCCAGCATAAAGGAATTCTTATTGACTGTAATTGTCCTCAGTCCAAGTGAGACAAATGAGAGCTTTTCATGGTAGAATTACCTAAGTACCAGCTCTTGTTAGGGACGAGACCTCAGACTTTCCCCTTCTATTACTCTAGCAGAGTCAGACCCACATCAAGTGTAATTAGACACTGAAGTTCACTTTATCATATATAATGGTGGCTCTACACATGTAGGCTGTGCTATTAGAATGTACTTCAGGTTTGGAAAATTGCCTCCTTCTCTTTCACTGTGGGTCGGCTTATGCTTACTAATTCTTGAACCTCCAAGAGAGGCCAGGCTAATTAAGGTTTGACCAGACCTAACACACACTTCCTCCCTCCTAGAGCTTTGACTGGGCTCAGGTCTTGGCTTCCAAGCTGTTTTGTAAGGTGACTTTGGGATGGAGGTGGTGGCGGGGTCCAGAGTTTGACCCAAATAGTGTCTCATTTATTTGTTGAGTATATTGGGCTGGTGAGCAGGTCTTTGTTTGAAGAAAAGATTCCAAGGCTAAATAAGGTTTTGAAAAACCACTGCCTAAACCACAAGTTGTGGCTTTGAATGTCTGTGCATGTTTATTAGTTCTCACAAACCTCCCTGTGCTTTTTTTTTTTCCTTTACTGGAATTTTTTAAAGTCGTGCATCAAATGCTAAAAAGAAAATACAAAATGAGGTCAACATGTCTCCTATCACTCCCTTCCTGCTCTGCTCCTCTGAAGATTGCCAGAGTTGACAGGTGGATAAGCACGTTCCACACCTTGCTCTGTCAGGGCTGTAGCCTTTAAATGTTCTTCATTGCAAAAAAGTTTCAAACTTACAATAATAAGCACTACCTGGAAAACAAGTTCTAGCATAATTTTAGAAAAGTCTCTAAAATAATACAGGCGTAGTGGTGCATGCTTGTAATCCCAGCACTCCAGAGACTGAGGCAGGAGGATCAGTGCAAGTTTGTGGACAGCCTGAGTTACATAGTGAGTTCAAGGCCAGCCTGAATTACATAGCAAGACGTTGTCTCAAACAAAAAACAAATTGAGCTAGAACTTGTTTTCCAGGTAGGTCTTATTGCCAGGGAAACACAGTACTTGCTTTCTTGCATCTCGTATAGTTTTGTTTTACAAAAATGGTATCATAGTATGCATTCTCCTTGGCAGCCTGTTTTTTAAAATCCAACAACCTATCTTAAAAATCATTCCATATCAGTATATTTGCCTTCTCTTTTTAATGGAATGTAGTCTTTTTCCATTATATGCTCAAACCTTCATTTATTGAATGTTCCCTGTTGTGTGATATATAGGCTGTTTCCACAGTTTTTTTTTTTTACCATCCCACAAAGTGCTACAGTAAATATCCTTGTTCATAAGTCTATGTATTGGTGTTTTTATTTCTGTAAGACAAATTTTCAGTTGCCTATGATGGTAAGATCATCGGCAATATAGACTTAAAATTTTATTTAATACTGAGAAAACATATTCTCAAAAGGCTATAGACAAGCCGCGTGCACACACACACACACACACACACACACACACACACACGGATGTGCCCATTTGCTCACATGCTCTCCAGCCCTGGGTGCTGTTGCTCATTTGAAACATGAATCTTTTCTGTAAAGAGATGGTGCACACCTGACATCTTATGTGGGTCTGTGAGGGATGCCTTTTCCGCACTGATTTTGTGCATGACCACCTTGCAGTCGTGATTGGGGGGAAGGAAGCTGTTGGGAAGCCTGGGGTAGAGGTGAAGCCGGAAGTGTCTATTACAGACTTGGATGCTTTTGATCCCACCAGTTTGCACAGCGGAAAGGCGCGGGCCGCGTGGTGCACATCTGCAACCTCCCCGAAGGAAGCTGCACTGAGAATGACGTCATTAACCTGGGGCTGCCCTTTGGGAAGGTCACGAATTATATCCTCATGAAGTCCACTAATCAGGTAGGCCGGGGCACCTTCACTTGCTGGGTGCAGGAGAAACCACACCTTAGTGAAAGAGAAATCTTATATATGTACATTTTTTTTAGAAGCAGTTCTTAACGTAAAGAGATGGTGCCCAGCTGGTTCCTTTGGCCCTGCACACAGGTTCCTGTTGAGGCTGTTGTGTTTCCCCTGTTTGCCTCTGCCCCTCTTGTGACAGTACCAGCCTCTGTGAACTGCCTGGAGGAGAGGGGAAGTGCTTTGGGAAGAGGTGCTTATTGATGCAGACAAGCTAATTGGCCCCACAATAGAATCTGTGGGCTCGAGTCACTGCTGTGTGGCTGCGCCCCTGAGCTAGTGCCGTAGTCTTGTCTTCTAAGCTAGCTGCAGCTGATGGCCTGATTTGGAGCCAGCCGAGAACTGGCTGGAAACTGAGATTTTAGTAGGTCTTTGGTGTCCATGCAGGAGGCCTTGGGTCTCAGAGGGGGAGATCAAGAGGGAATGGATGGGGGCCTAGTCAGTCTAAGAAACTAAGAATTCCTAACCTGTGGGAATTGGCTGAGCCCCAAATAGGTTTGTCGTCATTTCTAAAGTCTAAGGGGAAATATCTACAGAAAATGACCAGAAGTCAGACTATTTTGGGTTTTTTATTTTAATAAATATTTTTGTTTGATGGATCCAGACAACAGGCGGAGATGTTCTTCTCCTAGCTAAAACTAGGAGACGCAAAGCCGCGGGACGCCATTAGTCCCTCAGTCCAAGGACAGACTACTTACTGGTCTCTGTGCTCCTGCCTCTCGGGAATTCTGTTTCGGCTAGTTGTACTAAATTCAGCTTGCAACATTAATGCAGCGAGACTGCTTAGATTAGTGTCAGCCACATTCGAGAAGTGAGAGCTACAGATGCTAAATGTTCATCTTAAGAAGAGGTTCATCTCAAGAAGAGGTGACCAGGCACGGAGGCACACACCTGCCATCCCAGCACTCTGGGAGGTGGAGGCAGGAGGCTCTTGAGTTGGAGTTCAGTCTGGGCAACTTGGCAACTTAGCAAGACCTGTCTCAAAATTGAAAAAGTATTTTTAAAGGGGCTGGAGATGTACCTCAATGTGAAGGCTCTGGTTCAAACCCAAGTACCACACACACGCGCACACACACACACACACACACACACACACACAAGCACTTACAAAGCTCATGGCAGAATTTGAAATAAAACCCTGAAGAATCTTTAGTCGCACACACTTCTGCCACAGGTGGTGGAAAAAAGCCGTGCATCTGAAATTGACCAGTAAATCGCAGTGAAAGAGGACGAGTCAGCTCCATTTGCCCATTCAGTTCGGGAAAACAGGGGAACTGGGGCTCACAGTAAGGGCTCCCATGTCACAGATCACTTTTCCTTCTCCACATAGCGGGACCAGAATCCATGCACATCAGCATAGCACAAAGCCAACAAATCTGAGGAACAGCAGCTGTGACGAACGTACCACGGCTGCTACTCGGGTAAACTGACAGATCCACAAAGCAAACTGTAGACATAGACTAAATAAAAAGGCCCTTTTCTCTGTAAGTTCTTTTTTTTTTTTTTTAAATCAGTGCAGTTACAAGAGGAAAAGTTCTGTGGAAGCATTGTCACGGCCTTTCCTTTGACTCACAATGGCCCAGCTTTCCTTCAAGCCTAGGGGCTCCTGAGCCTCTCTGTTTGGGAATACATTACTTTCTTTGTAAGGCAAGGGAGAGTAGAGTTTGCATAAGTATGGCTTATGCTTCTGTCTCCTGCTGTCACCACTACCAAATAGCAGGCCAAGGCTACATGTGGGGCAGCCCCCACTGGGAACTGTGAGATAACGCCCCTTCCACACCAGAGGGGCTTCCATGGCATGACACACGCAGCCCAGGACGAACATTCGTAATTAAGAATACTTTTGGTAACCATGGAGATCAGAGAGGCGCCATCTTATAATGAGCTCTTTGGGTGAAGTTAATAAAAAGGCCCCTTTGAACAGATGAGATCAAAGAGGGCTCTTTCTTGTACTGATTTTTTTATTGAGGTATAAAGCAGATACTCTTAAGTGCATAAAGTATAGTCATCTTAAGTCTACAGCTCCATTACTTTTTTCACATATATAAACCCATATAATTAACACCAAGGTGAAGATATAGGACACTTCCAGAACATCAGAAGGTTTCCTCGTGTCCTTTTCCAATGACTTCCCCACCTCCAGCCTGGAAGAAAGCTCAGCTAATTTCCATCAGCATCAATTCATTTTCCAATTCTTGAACTTCATTGGCATGAAATCATACCTTGAACAGAATTTTGTTTAAGACCACAAAATCAAGTCCAACGTACATCGTTTCTGTCTTTCCAAGGCCTTTTTAGAGATGGCTTACACAGAAGCTGCCCAGGCCATGGTCCAGTACTATCAAGAAAAGGCTGCTGTGATCAATGGTGAGAAGTTGCTTATTCGGATGTCCAAGCGATACAAGGAATTGCAGCTGAAGGTAAAACATTCTCTCACTCGTTCAGTCATTCATCAAGCATCAGCTGACTTTTCCCTACTTGTCAAGTGCTGAACTAAGTACTGCCAGGAAGGAGAGGCTGGGAAAAGATTCAGAAATTACTCTCTGCCTTTGAGGCTATTGCTTGGAAAGGCAAATCATTACACTGTGGCACGAAAGGTGTTTGTTAAGGTAAGTGCAGAATGCAAAGGGATGCTTGAGTCTACCTGGGAGCCAAGGGGGATCTCACAGGGAAAGATGTCTGCAGAGGTCTGAGGGAGGAAGGACGTACAGGAAGGTGGTTGCTTTTTGGTGGTGGTGGGGGTTGCGGGCATAAACCCCGCCTACAAGCTGTTCTGTGCCGGTACAAGCCTTTGGTAACTTTTTCTTCCTCTGTCACTGTCCTTTATCTTTTGTCCTTTCCTTCTTTCTCTGGATGGATGTCATAAACCCTACAGAACTTTTAAGCAGCATGTGACTGACTTGGAGACTATCAGAACTCAGGGATGAATTCAGATCGTTTCAGACCAGACTTTGTTTTTATTTTGGCTTATTCTGCATTTGGTCTTTTCTTCTTTCTTTCTTTCTTTCTTTCTTTCTTTCTTTCTTTCTTTCTTTCTTTCTTTCTTTCTTTCTTTTTTCTTTCTTTCTTTCTCTTTTCTTTCTTTCTTTCTTCTTTCTTTCTTTCTTTCTTTTCTTTCTTCTTTCTTTCTTTCTTTCTTTCTTTCTTTCTTTCTTCCTTTCTTCCTTCCTTTTCTGTTTCATTGAGAAATATAATAAATATAGAAGCATGACCAATAATATATTGTACAATTTAAAAAGTAATATTGAGCGAGAGGTTATACATCCCATAAAAGCCACCACCAAAGTCAGGAAATAGAATATGGACAGTAACCAAAAGCCCATAGGAGTCCTTCCTCATGTTCATACCTTCCCTCTCTCCTCTGAGGATATCCATTTCTATGCTTTTCCTTATAGTTCTACAACCCACTCATGCCTCCCTAGTAGCATAGTTTAGTTTTGTCTGTTACTGCACTTTAATTAATGGAGTCACACTGTCCACTTTCTTTCCAGTCTTGCTTCTTTTATTCAACATTATGTCATCCATGGTGTTGGGTGTATCTCTTTTAATTATTAGAATGTTGTATGGGTACAGTGTGTTTATCCAGCCTCCTGTTGATGAACACTTGGGTCGTTTCCAGTTTTAGGCTATTAGGAACAGCGCTAATACCCTGCTCCAACATGCTGACTTAGCACACATGCACATGAGCGTCTCGTTAGTGGAGAGGTCAGAACTGCTGGTTTGTAAGGCGTGCTTACCCTCAACTCTCCTAGAGGGTAGCAATCACAATCTCCTTCTGAGATCAGTTTCCTCAGATTTAAATTCATTTTAGTAATGTATGAGGGTTTTCAATGCTTTGCATTCTTACAATCTTTGTCTTGCCCAATTTTTAAATTTTTGCCCGGTTGGGGAGACTGTAATGGTGTATCTTGGTTTTATTATTTTACTTTCTTGGTGACTAATTGTGATTGACCAATTTCCCATGCTTATTGGCCATTCCATCTGGATCTTTTTGGAAGGAAGGTTCTTTCACGTCATCTGCCTATGCTTTTCTTTTGAGTTTTATTGTCTCATTGATTTACAGGAATTCTCTTAACCGGAACACTAGTTCATTTGGATTTATTGTAATTAATGCCACATTTGTGTGCAAATTCACCCACTTACTTTGTGCTTTATACGGTCCTGTTTGAAAAGAATTTTCTTGGTTCATTTAAACCCTTTCCATGTGTACATAGTCCATTTTGTTCAAGACTCACAGCCCTTAACCTGCCTTTAATCTCCAAGGTTGAAGTCAGAAGACGGAGGCTCAGTGGCTAGAACTCGAATTCTGACAAGTCTACATATGTAGATTGCTCAGGAATACGTCAGCTAGTTGCCCAAGTCTGATTCTGCTTTGCTTGCATTATCGCCTCTGAAGTTCTTTTCTGCTTTAGGCAGAACCCAGAATTTTTTTTCTAATGAAAGTGTCAGACAAGTAAAAAGTCCTGCCCTGTTCTGTACCCAGCCAGTTGCTCTTCTCCCAGACTCTCCCCTGAGGGCTGGAATTGAATATCTTTACTCAGTTTCCAGTGGATTTAGTCTCCACATGAGGTGTTGTCATAAGTTTCTAATTAGGATTAACAGCAGTAATCAGTTTGTCAAAGTACAAGGCAAGATAATACCCTGCTGAAGGAGATCGTTTGGGTGGTGCAAACACTACGGGTTAAAGAAGTCAGATGGGGGCTGGGGATTTAGCTCAGCGGCACAGCGCCTGCCTGGCAAGCGCAAGGTCGTGAGTTCGGTTCCCGGTACCGGAGAAAAAACCAAAAACAAAACAAAACAAAACAAAACAAAACAAAAAAAAGAAGTCAGATGGCCAAGGTTCGCATTCAGCAGAGGTTCACGGAGTGCCCACTGTGGGTGGGTGCTGTGGCCTTAGATGGAGCGAGCTTGGGAGGAGTTCTGTCTGGTGGGAGGAAAGACTTGTAAACAAAGAACCATCAACAGCCACCTGACCTGTGCTGAATCTGAAGCTGGTGGTGCCAACCTAGGCTCCACCCCTTCCTGCTTTGTTGCGCTCAGACCAGTTGCTTAACCTCTGTGAACCTCTGTATCCAGATCAGTTAAGGGCTTTTGTTTCAGGCAATTTTTTTTTCATTTATCTTTTGGGACTCACAATCACCCTACCCTGTGAGGAGTGCAGGGTGGATAATAACCATAATTATAAGAGTGCAACAATAATAGGCACTTTTAACTGAGTCCTGCTACTGTGGGGCAAACTGTGTACTAAGCACTTTACATATATTATCTACCTTAGTTCTGACATCAGTCCTGTCAGACAGGTATTATTATCTTAATTTTATGGATAAAGAAACTGTGAGGCTAATAGAAGTAGAGTAACTTGTTCAAGGCCATTTCTACTAGAAGAGTTATGATTAAAGCTTAGGACTCCTTTGGTTTTGCATTATATCTACATTATTGTATTGTGCTGTTAAAGTCTCCATTCTCCACATGAAAAGGAGAGCAATTGGGTGATTTGCTTACAGTCTCGGAGCCAGGAAGCTGCACAGAGAGTATTCTAACAGAAAATGCAAATTACATAGAGTCCTTGTTAAAATGCATTTCCATTTAGCAAGACTGAGACAGGGCTGTGATTTTACATTTCTAACAAGTTCCCATGTGATGCTGATGTCCGTAGCCCTTGAGCATGCTTTAAGCAGCAGGGTGTAGGACACATTGTTTTCTGATTTGTAGCAGGAGTTTTCTGCCCCCAGTGTTACACTGCCTTACAGTCATTGTGAAGGTCACATGGGATAACCTATGTGAAAGTACTTTAAAGCATATTTCTACTAGATAATAAAGGATGCTTTATGGCCCCTATGTTGACATAAATCAGCTAGACCGCTCTCTGCAAGTAACAGAAACTTGTCTCAAGACTGTTGACTTAGGTAGAACAAAGAATTCATCGGCTCAAGTAAATGAAAAGTCCAGGAATAGTTCTGGCGGCAGCTATGACTGGATTCAGGGTCCAAATGAGATCATCAGGACTTGGTTTCTTTCCTGCCTGCCTTCTGCTGTCTGGGCTTTGTTTTGCTCCCTGGGGTGGCCCTTAACAGCCCCCAGCTCTCTCCTCTAGATGGCATGGTAGCTTCAGTGCCTTGTGCAGCTCTGGCTTCTCATGCCCCCATTACTTTCAACAAGAAGGAGCCAGGGATCTTTCCTAGTAGCTGCAGCAAAAAGTCCTGAGAGCCATTCTGATTGGACTGGCTTAGCACATACACCCATCTTGGAACCAATTTCTGTGGTGACATGGGAAGGCTACGCTGTGATTGGCTGAGCCTGTGTCACTTGCTCCATCCTCAGAAGCAGGGGTGCAGAACTCTAGGGTGAGAAGGGGGAGGAGTAGCTGCTAACCATGGGAGGGAGGAGGCTGCTGGGAAGTAGGTAGTAAAATACCCACCACATGCATTTGCGTTACGGGGCCAAATGGGCCACGGTATCATATCCCCCCGGAATAGGCAGGGTGGAGGGAAATTCTGGCTGGTCATTGCTTTCTAACTTTGTCCTTTTGCTTAGCAGGCAAAGTGCAGGGAGAGAAAGGTTAGACTTTAAGTTATTCTTTCATCTTTTCTTGATTGCTGTTTTCTCACACCTGTACCTTATCTCCCCATGTGCAGGGTTCTATTTCTCAGGGACTCTGTGGCAGAACTTTTCACACAATAGGTGTCTGTGTCTGATGAATATGCAGAAATACTGAGGAAGAGAACCTCTGAAGGAGCAATAAAAAATGAGCGTTTACCTTCCTGGACAAGGAAAATGGAAGATTGGAGTCTTTGGTGTTCTGTAAAGTTCTTCAATAAGTTTAGGGTCATAATATCCTTGAGGTCCTTGATGTGGAATTTAAACCACTGTCTCCTACTTACTGCATCAGAAAACGGTCAGAGGAACTTTCAGGCCTTTATACCCAGGGACTCATTTATTGGACTGAGCTTCCCAGCAGTGCTGGGGACAGAGGGCCTGGTTTCAGAGCTACTGAATCTGCCGGCCATCTGGCCACAGAGAGGCCCTCTGGCCCTGGAAATCAATCTTGTGGGTCGCCCATGATACTCTCTATTGGAAGATTAGGAAAATTGATGACTTGGGGACTTGTCTGTGTACAGCACAGTACAACAGCTGTGTTGCATATGAGATACGGTCCTGACTTGGGGACAGCTTACTATTGGGGAACAAGCTATTCTTGTGTAAAAATATACAAGATTTACACGAGCGTCTAAGTGGCTATTAGAAGTTCAGCGCCAAAATGCAGCACGGCTTAGAAGTAAAGGAGGGAGAGGCTGCCAGGAGGGGCTTGGAGGATGGGGAGAGTCAGCCGCACAGAGATGCGGCTTCTGGGAAGAAGGAGTCAGGTGAGAGGAGATGGCGAGGCTGGAGAGCCAGGAATGTCAGAAACGTCGGGAGCCCCAGCGGGACTGGCTCTGAGGAGCTCCAGGCTTGTCTGGAAGGCTTCGGCTTCTTCCCAAGACTTTGGAGGTGTGAACAGCAGCTGTGGAGCTGTCATAGGGCATGAGGCACCCACGTAGCACCTTGTGTGTTGGCCAGGCATCCCCCAGCTTTCGTGAGTACAGCTTGCCATGCCCTGAGGCTCTTGGTCAAGGCCAGATGCACCTCATTATCCCACCTGTTTCGGTGGAGAAAGTGAGTCCCCACAAGCAACAGCCCACAGCCCACATAGGCAGCACTGTCCTAAGACATAAGGGGCCTCAGCATCCTGTCTGGTCATAGCAGCAGCCACATACATGTGTTGACTGCGGGCACAGGGGATGGCCCCTGTGGTTGGCGAGCTGCGTCAGTGTCATAGAATGTGTGCAGAGATAGGACATCTGGTGTTTGCTTCAGAACAGCCTAAGGAGCAGGGGCAAAGAGTGGGGGTAAAAATACAACCAGACTGGGCAGAATTATTGCAGATGGACAAAGGATTTATGGGATTCAATATAATATTCTCTCTACTTTTGTTTGTCTCAAATTTTTTACAATAAGAACAAATTTCGGTACGGACCTGCTCTATTCTCTTCATTTTCATTTTTCTTGGGCAGTGACAGCATTGTTTCATGTGCTGCCTTTACACTTTCAACCACAGGATGCAGCCAGCCCAGAAGAAAATTTTGGCTCCTTCTGTCCCCTCTGGGATGGGAGTGGCGGGGTGGTTGGTCAAGAAAGGGCCGAATAATTTGCAATCATCACTTAAAACAGTGAAATGACCTTTGACTCTCGGAAGGGTCACGATGCCTGTGATCACCAGCCTCACAGTGCAGTACTTGCAGACTCTGCAGATTAATTTTCTGCAGCCACACCCCTCCCTTTCTCCTGCCGTTCATCTTGGAACAGGTACCGTGGGGCACCTGCTCAAACTGAGGCTGTGCTGCTCCTGCCTATGTGAAGACCAACGCTCTGGGCCCGCCTCGCGGAGACCTGCGGTCTGAGCAGGAGTAACTCCAGAGAACACTGCCGTGAAAGTGGCCCCAGGAGGTTTTGTGACTGGGAAGCAAGGGCAGGGATGTTTCAGACAAAAGGAGGTTCGTATAGCCTCCAAGGCACCGAGCACGCATCTCTTTGAGCTGAGGGCCTGCATGCTCACTAGAGGATGTTCCATCTGGCTCACCTACTCTGCCCCTCTGCAGGGGACTCCTCAGAGGGAAAGGCCTGGGGTACTGTCTGTCATGACCAAGGGAACAGGCATCCCTGGAGGCCTCTGGTGCTCCCCTGGGCCACCCTGGGAACCTGCCAAACCTCACCTGCTTCATCTGCTCGTGAGAAGGCCCTCTCCTCTCCCTCCAGGTTTTCCCGGTTCTGGGCCGGAAGGAAAATCAGAGGCATATTCGGTTCCCACAGAGCAAAGGAAACAGGTGCATGGAGGACTGGTTTTACAGCAGAAAGTTCCCTATCCAACCCCCTCGAGGAATTTTTATTTTCATATCCTGAAACAGCTGTGTACATTTAACCTACATTGGAGGCACATGCTTTAGGCTTTGTCTGTTCCCTCTATCCCAGCTTGGCAGTGTGAGCTATAGATTTGAGCCCCAGGTCGTGGCCTCCCAAGTATGGACGTCTCCTCACTCAGACTTGGCCCTGATGCCCGCTCCCTGCTCTCCCAAGCTGCACTGCTCATCACGTGTCGGCCTGCCTGAAGGCAGTGCTGGTTGAGGACCAGCCTTCCCAGCTGTTCCCTCCCTTGGTTATCCATAGCTGACTTCCATTGTGTGGCCACAGGTGGTAGGTAGGAAGAAGACTCCTTGGTGGGGCCCACGTTAAATACAGTCACCTCCAGATGAGCCACCATCTTCTACCTCAAGGAGGGGATCAGTGACCCTGGCAGAAGGCTAGGTAGACTTAGGCAGGGTGATAGGTGAGTACAAGTGTTCTAGGCACCTGATTCCTTCTCAGTCAGGCCAGCAGCTTTGGCCTCTTCTTCACTCAGCCTTAGGCTCTGCTGTGGTCCAGTTCAAGCAGGTGAGGTGCTGGTTGATGGTGCATGTTCTGGGTGACCTGGTGACTTTTACGTGGTACCTCTGAGAGACGATAAAGGGTTAACCTTATAGTTAAGGTGCCATTTGCTGAAATTGTAAGGTAGCTTTTTAAGGGAATATCCTGATCAATACTAAGTCCCTAGGCCTTTTCTTGAACAGGTCAGTGATTGGCTTCTTGTGCTTCTACTTCTTTATGATCATAGGGTCAAGGTCACTGTCTTCTCTTTGGTTTTCTTTCTTTTTGCATCTTGAGCTGACAGGAGATCTCTGCCTGGCTGGAACATTTCCCATCTTCTCCCTGTGTCCCAGTCCTGACCTTTCACCCTAATGCCACAGGCCACTCCTCCTTCCTTCTCATCTGTGGTTTCACAATACCCGTGAGCAGCTGTGCTGCTCAGGGAACCCACAGAATTCTAGTCCCAGCCGCTTCACATTTCAGGACCTGGTTTTGCCATCTGTAGAATGAGACACTTGATGATACCTAACACTGCGATAGTTCTTAAGGTGTCATGTTCTCCATGAAGAAAAATCAAGAATAAAGAGAGCAGTTGATTAAACTTCTTTGGTGGCCATGTACTTCTTTTTCTAAACATTTTAAAAAATCATTTTTCCATCTGAGGTTTAGAAAGAGCCTTTGAGGGCTAGGCTTGGTCCTGTCCTGGCACATAATGACCTACGGAAAGGGCAGAACCCTTGGGTTCCTGGCATTCTCGGCTGTGAAATGTGCCACAGAATCACTTTGAGCCTCAGATGACCCCTGGGGATGAACATACTGGAGTGAGAGATTAAGAGGGTCATGGAGCTGGGTGTGGTGACACACGCCAATAATCCCAGCACTCAGCAGGATTATTGTGAGTTTGAGACCAGCCTGGACTAGAAAGTGAGCTCCAGGCCAGCCTGAACTGCATAATGAGACCCTGTCTCAAAAAGCACCCCCAAAAAAGTCATGGGGCAGGAAAGGAACTCAGCGGGACAGCGTCTATTCTTTTACAACCTCTGTGACACTGAACCCAGCACAACACCAAGAGTCACTAACTGGAGGGGACACGCAGTGGCCGGCGGCCCTGGAGTTAGGCAGAGCAGCGGCTGCCTGCACCGGTCTTGGGTGAGTTTACACACATGTAAAAGACCTAGATTCAGCGACCTTCACGTAGCTTCCTGCGTTTAAACATCATTGCTCTTCTTCCTTTCCTCCCTCCCTTCCTTCTTCTCACATTCTAAATATTTTTTTTTTAATTCAAGAGGAGAAGGGAGGTGAGAATTAACAAATGCTGTTTATCCAGCGTGTGGATGGTGAACCAGGCTGTTCTGTCTCCAGCTCAATGCGAGCCACGTTCTCTGCTCCTTCAGCCCTCGGATTAGACATTATTTCTTCCTCACGAAAGGCACCTTTCACCCTTTGGTGCACCCCGCATTGAGCAACCCCAGTGACGTCTGCTTTCCTCTGGCATTCGCAAGGCTACCTCTGATCTGATGGTGCTCTCTCTGCCTTCCTAGAAACCCGGGAAAACCGTGGCTGCTATCATCCAGGACATCCACTCCCAGAGGGAGAGGGACATGTTCCGGGAAGCAGACAGGTGAGGCTTCTGGTCTAGGGCAGATTCTAGATTCTTGTTTCTCATTCTTCGGGGGATTTGGGTCGCACCATGCCCTGCCCTTGCCCCTGTCCCGTTCATTTGCTTTCTGGGCCCTACCTGCCCGTGTTCCCAAGGAAAAGCACCAGAGTCCAGAAGGGCAGGTTAGGTTCAGCTCAGGAAACTGCACGATGCTGGCTTCCTTTCCTCCATTCCTTCTCTTGGAAAGGACTATGGCGAAGGATTTATGAATATTTGGCCCGTCGAGGCAGCCTGCACGCTGCTAGAACAACCTGAACATACGTGTGTGCACGTGGCAGAGTAGGAGTACGGATTTCTCATTAGAGCCAACTCTTGATTTTTCATGAGCTAAATGTAGCTGTGAAAACAAGGATGTAGATGGATTTTTTTAAAAGACAAAAACAATTTCTTGAACACTTACTCTGAACAATGAATGCGTACAGTCTCCCAACTCCATTCTTTAGCCTGAAGTTTGTGACCAACCAAGCCGAGCGGGGGATACAAGATGACCCTGCAGAGACAGTCCTGAGAGAGCCCTGGGGGAAAACAGCCGGGCCAGGCACCGGCCAGCACAGTCTGTGGTTCTTACCTACGTCTGTCGCAGGAGGCGCTCTGTTCTCACTGCAGAGGGTACAGCCCAGGAGGCAGCCTGGTCCTGCCTGGCAGAGGCATCTGTGTCCCATGGCCATTTGGGAAGAATGGTTGTCCTTTGCTTAAGAACGAAAGGGAAAATGCCTATCATTGGCGTATGACTCAGCTGATCTGCTTAATTACCAGCCTTCAGCATGCATATGTGTTTGTGTGCACTTACATGTTCAGGCTTAGGGTGTTTCTCTATGTTTTTTAAACTGTGGTTACTTGGGTTTTTAAATGGTGTGTGTACAGCCACACCGTGCCACCTGCGGCTCTGTGGCGGTGTAGAAGGAGGTTCGGAGTCTTTTCCTGGGCTTCCGTTTCTTTATCTCCGATGTAGCAGGTCAGATTTTTGAGTTTTGTTCCAGCCTTCTTCCTGGATCGTTATTTGTGGAATCGCTGCCCTTACCCTTGCTATTTCCCAACTATCAGTGTCCCTTCTTCACATCCAGGATGTTGACAAATTGAGATGAGAACTAAATGAGCGAAGAGGAGGCCAGGAGGTACCTGTATTCTGATAGAAACCAAATGGAGGAGTGGATTGGGTCTGACTGGCAAGGGCTGGCTGTCAGGATCCCAGGTTCACGTGGCCTTGGCCACTATGAGCAGCCTTGCCCCCGAGCCCAGGCCCGACACCATCCCCAGGAGGAGAGAGAAGGGCCTGTTCTCTGGGCATAACTCATTTCCTGAGCCAAATGAATCCAGGCATTTTCCCTAGCTCTCAAGACCAGGATGAAGAAAGGCGCAGAGAGAATGGCTAACACCATGCTTGGGACAAATCCTTCCTTACAGAGATCAGGAGGGAGGACGGCCTTTCTTCTGTCCACTTTCTGTGTGGGTCTAGACAGTTGTAACTAGGACCACACAGCTAGACTGTGGATGTTGGGGCCGGGTAGCGGGTGTGCAGACTCTAAATCCCCTCCTTTGCTCCCTCACAGATATGGCCCGGAACGGCCGCGTTCTCGCAGTCCTGTGAGCCGGTCTCTGTCCCCAAGGTCACATACTCCAAGCTTCACCTCTTGCAGCTCTTCCCACAGCCCTCCAGGCCCCTCCCGGGCGGACTGGGGCAATGGCCGGGACTCATGGGAGCACTCTCCCTATGCCTGGAGGGAGGAAGAGCGAGACCCCCCGCCCTGGAGGGCGAATGGGGAGGACGTGCGGGACAGGACAGACACGTGGGCACACGATCGCAGACACTATCCCCGGCCCCTGGACAAGGCTGAGTCGGATGAGCGCCTGGAAGGAGGGAGGGGCCACCGGGAGAAGTACCTGAGGTCTGGCTGCCCCAGCCCACCCCACTCTGCACCCAGCTACAGATGCCGGGAGGATGGCTACTACCGGAAAGAGCCCAAAACCAAACCGGAAAAGTACCTAAAGCAGCAGGATGGTCCCGGGAGGCCCAGGAGGAAAGAAGAGGCCCGACTGCGGGAGAGCAGACACCCCCACCCCGATGACTCAGGCAAGGAAGACGGGCTGGGGCCCAAGGTCACTAGAACCCCTGAGGGCACCAAGTCCAAGCAGAGTGAGAAAAATAAAACCAAGAGGCCTGATAGAGATCAAGAAGGAGCTGATGATAGAAAAGAAAGGAAAATGGCAGAGAATGAGGTAATGATGCAATTACTTCCCCGGGTAAGGTGAGGCAGGTCCCAGAGGAAAATAATGACGATAATGTAATCATGATGAACATTTACTGAATGAATGCATGTTGACTGAGAGGATGAAACATTTATTGAATGTTTATTATGTACCACACACGTGCTAGAGACGTTACCTCAATGAACGTAGCCTCACAGAATCCCCATGAGGTTGGCACTTTTATTTCTGCTGATGAAGAAACTGAGGCACAGAGAACTATGTTATTTTCCCAGGAGCATTCAGGAGGAAGTGGCACAGCCAGAATTATACCCAGGCCATGATCCAGCCCCAGATCCCACGGTGCCTTCACTAGAAGTAAGGGAGGGACATGCTAAAGGCCCTCTGTAGTTCTGTTTGTCCAAGGTGGGGTGGCCCTCAGGTGTTTACGCCCACAGAGTCTACCAGAGGAGATTAGATCTTTGGTCCACTCCGTCCTGTCTCCTGCCAAAAGCATCTGCCAGTCCAGGAGCTCTGATGGGAAATGGTAAAGGAGAAGCAGCCTCCACCCTTTAAATTATACTGGGTACCCAGGGCGTGGTGTGTTTCTGTAGATACTACCCACAGGATTTTAGTTCCATTTTAATAAAAACACTTGGCAATTGGCTGGGATTTTTATCCAAGTGTCTACAAGGGCTCTGATCTGTTGCACTGCCACAGTTCATGCAGGAGCTCATGGGAGGCAGGGCCTCTGGGCACTGGATTTGCATTCTGACTTGCCTTATACTTCCTTTAGCCAAAGCCTTCTACATTTAAGTAGGGTGGGATCATAGAGGGTTGGTGCTGTGTATAAGGAAACTAATTTTTTAAATCCTCCATGCATATCTTCTAGTTATCTTGACCCAAGAGTTGGTGCCAATAAGTCTTATTTAGAAACCCAGTTCTCAACTCCATGAACACTGAAGAGTCACGCTTCATTTCCTCATGCATGTGGTAGAGTGCCACTTTGGCAGGTGGTGTGCTGGCCACAGGGGATCCAAGGGTGGCTAAGACATAGCCCACGCTATGGGAGAGCTCAAGGTCCACTGGTGGAAATCTACGTATGGAATAATTTATGCACAGTAAGACCCAGGATGGACTTTGCAGAGGATGAGCTGTGCTGTGGGCAATTAACTCCGCGTGGGAAAGGAAGAAAGCTGCACAGAGGAGGTGGCATTTGAGCTGGGTATTGAAAGTGGGCAAAAGGCAGTGTGGGATTCTCAGTAGAAGTAGTTGCAGGACCAAAAATGAGGACAAAAGACTTGTCAAGAAACTGTAGATGCTCAATGTGGCTGTATCTTTACAGCATATTTAAGGCTAATGTTTTTTAAAAAGTAAAATCATGACTCTGGTGTGAACATATCATGAACACATGTCACGGATTTTATTCAACTCATTAACTATTGAAGGAATCATGAGATATAAAAGTCAGCTCCAAGGAGACTCCAAAGAGCAGACAACTATATGAGCAATCGAGACTACGGAAATGAATTTGCTAATGATGTAAACCTCTTCCAGAGAGGGCAATTCACTGGTGTCTCAATGAACGAGAATCATTTGGGTCACATTCAGTTTTCTGCAACCCATAAAGTTGCAGAGGAGCTCAGTTTAAGGTCAGGAAGAGCGAAGAGCCCTATAGAATCAAGTACCCTGGAGATGTACTAGACAAGTCATAGCATTCTATGGAAAGGATGCCCAATAATCTCCCCCGCCCCATTGCAAAGTCTGCCACAGGTTTTACTGACTGGAATGGCAGGACGAAGCACAGGGGATGTGATTAGGGGAAGTGGGGGGAGTGGGCTGATGAGGGACCCTGAATGAACTAGATCTTGGCTCCCAGAGGGTGTTTTTAAGAGGTATATGTGGTCCTCTATATTCCTTGGGTCTCCCCTTCTGGCCTGTCAGTATTGGTGCACTGATCACCTAGTACCCTTGTTTTGTTTAGTGCATACCACTCACCCCAAGTGTCACCTCCACGAGGCAGGAACGTTTCCCTGCCAGGCCGTGTCCCTGTCCCTGGAGTGGGGCTTGGCACAAAATGGGTGTTGGATGGGTATCTGTTGAAGGAGGGATGAGCCCAGACTCTAGAGGGAAAGCCCGGCTGCTTAGAACCATAGTCACACCCTGTTCTCTGTCTCAGTGCTTTTGTTTGTAGAATGGATGTGATCACTAGGCTGCTGTCGCCCTTGAATGAGCCTGTGCTTGTTGGAGACCATTGAGATCTCTAGAGAAAGTGCTCGTGGTACAGAAACTCATATATGTATCACTCAGGGTTTGTGAGTGGCCAAGTCCACACATGGGACCCAGCAGCCCTGACCACAGGACTCTAGGAAGAAATGAAGTAACTGTATGGAAAGATCTGGGAAAGAAACACCTCAGTGTCCAGATCTGTAACATCTGTAACATCTGTAACATCTGGACACTGAGCATTTAGCATGAGTTGTGTTGTGAGTGAAGCTGAAATAGTCATTGGTTTCCTGGAGTTCACAGTCTAGTGGAAAGACATGCTAGTCAAGTCATTCCTCATATGAACAGGAGAGTGTGTGTGTGCAGTGCCAGGAAGGACTAGAGGCCAGAGTTGCTGGAGCAGAGAGGCAAGTTAGCGTGTCAGGAGGTGAGACTGATTTGTCTAGAGGGACTACTTCATGCAGACCTTGCAGGAAGATTCAGAAATTTCTGCCTTTATCCTACATGCAGTGGAAAGCAAATGAAATCTTCTGGCAAGAAAGTACAGTGAGGATATGATAGTTTTACATTTGGGGATGATCATTTTGATTACCTTGGGTAGATGGGAGGCGTGGCATACAGAGCAGGAGGAAAAGACCGGTTAGGCTCTGGCTTAGCGGTAAGTAGCCGAGGCCCTGTGGTGACAGAGTCCTGCTCGCAACTGTTGGGACCTAGTGTCTTGTTTTGTGAGCTGGTGTGAGCAGCAGGGTACATGGGTTGCATTGTTCTGGTCCCTTAAGCTGCAGATCTCACCTGGAAGTGACTCTAGAGCAGAGGGAAGCCCCAAAGGGCACTGACCTACCTTTGCCTACAGGGGTCTGCCTGGTGGGGCCTTTGGGCAGCATTCCCAACGCTGTCTTTTTCTCTCCAGCTTAAATTGGAGGGGGATTCTTGACTGTGTTCACCAAAGGGTATATCTGCAGAAATTGCTGGTGAAGGATAGAAATCATTTTTTGGTCTGGTCTTGTTTTGTTTGCTTGCTTTTTGAGACAGGGTCTCCCTCTGTAGTTCAGGCTGGCCCTGAACTCATTAGATGTCCCAGATTAGCCTCCAACTCATGCCGATTCTCCTGCCTCCACCTCCCCAATGCTGCACCACCATGCCCGGCAAGATTATTTTGACAAGGGAGGGCCATGAAAAATTTATGAAGGGAGATAAAAATAAAGTAGTCATCAATGGCTTCTGATAACTAAAAAGGCATGTGTAGCTGCTTTACAGTTACCTCGGGAGACTCAAGCAAAGCTTTCCGTGGAATCTGCTGCTCCAAACGCTTGAGGATGGGTACTGCCTGTCCTGTTCAGTAATAACAAGTTGAACCAGTCAGCCCTGGGCTCCTGGCCCAGCTGGCCCATTGTCAGCTCAGAGAGGTGTGTCTCCTTCTGTGTAAGTAAAATAGAGTCCTTTGCTTAGAACCAGCCTCAGCCAAAAAAGTCAAGCAAATGCATCTTGTCCCTGAAGAAACCCAGGAATGGCCATGGACTTAATGATGAAAGTCAAAGTCATGGGCGAGTACCTCCCAGAAATTTCTGAAGCAGAGCTTTGCAAGCCCTTTCTACAGGAGACCAGATACAAAATATTTTCGTCCACGTGGACGATCAGGCAAAACATAGGATTTTACGTGGGTATTTACACAGCCACTTAAAATTGCACTGTTCAGAACTATAAAATCTGTTCTTAGCTGACAGACTAAAAACAGGCTCTAGGTCAGAGTTAGCCCGTAGAACAGGCTGCTGAACCCTGTTTTAAAGGCTGGTGAGGAGCCTTGCTTGTCAAACCAAACACCTGCTCTCAAGGGTGGAAGAGACGGAAGGACACAGGAAAAAAGTGCTCACTTGTTCTGTGGCTTTGGGAGGGAGAGAGAGAGTGCGAAAGAGAGGTAAGAAGGCACTGAGGGTGCTAGCTCCTTCCCCACTGGCTAGGGGCTGGAATGTGACGTTTATGGTCAGCAGGGGTCTGTTGGGGAGATGTCACAGTGACAGCCTAATCCGGGGTCGACCCCAGTTCATTCACTCTTGGCTTCTCCTACTCGCTCTTGCTGCGACAAATGCCACTTTTCCAGAGATCCCTGACCCCTCATGACAGCACACCAGCCTTCAAAATATTTCTCTGCTCCGTCTGTCTGTGCAACTGTGAGCGAGTTACTTAATCTCTCTGAGCCTCCGTTTTCTCATTCTGTAAAGTGAGGATGATAGCAGCCGCTGCCTCTGAGGGGCTCTGTGAGGGAAAAGGAAATGATGTGAGTGCAATGCGTCCATGTTCAATGTCACCCTTTTTCTCTTGGTGCTCCCTCTTTTCTCTCCCTGTACTCACTGTTGATTTTGTGTTTCTGTTCTTCCTTTGGTAAGGCTGCAAAAGAGGAACAGGAGGGCATGGAAGAAAGCCCCCAGTCAGTGGGCAGACAGGAGAAAGAGACAGAGTCCTCTGATCCAAAAGTCACAAGGATGAGGAAGGTAAATTTGTCCCAGATACTGGCGGTGTAGTCACACCTGCACTTCCCCCACCAGGGACTGAGTCACAGAAGTCTCCGTCCTGCCTAGCAGTTGCCCCTGTATGAGTGTGTCTCAGACCCCACCAGCAGTTCCAGAAAAGACCCAGTTACCCCTAGAACTTCTGCGGGGAGTGGCTTTGCTTGGGGTCTTAGGACAGTCTTTATTGGGAGATCTTCACCCACTTGCCCAGGCCCTGCCTCACTCTCCAGCAACTTGGCTGCTCTCCTGTGAGAAAATATGTGCCCAAAAAAGACTCAGGCTTTAAGAGCCAGGCTCCCAAAATAGGCAGGTCCCTTAGGGAGTACAGGGGACCCTGTTTTGGATACTTGAGCTGGGGCCCTGACCTCAGCAGCCCAGACGCTGGGATCAACAAAACACCTACTGTACTTACAAAGATTATTTTATGTAATTAAAAAGAGAAACCCAGTTCCAGTTTTCCTGGGCTAGGGCTTCCATAGCAAAAAGAAACGTACCTGGAACATGGCCAGCTGGTCAGGAGAACCTGATCTCCTAAATCTGTCTGCTGGGTCTGTGGACTGCTGGGAACACCACGGGGGAAGTTTCAGGACAGGTTAAATGTAAAGACTGGGGTTACTAGGGCTATGAAGGTTGCACTCTTGCACGGGGGAGTGCTTGGAGAACGTTTGTAGACGTAGTTACATTTAGTGATGCCCCCACATACAAGGAAATAGCTCTAGCAAATATGTGGCATCTATAAATTATTCATTCATTGCAAAACTATTATGTACCAGGGGTTGAAATTCTTGGTATCATCTCAAACATGTTTGGGTACAGGAATGGGACTTACACTAAGTCCTGTACCATTTTGGACATTATCCTAAGGAGGAGTCAGGGATGTGGGATCTGAATGACTCACAGCTTCTAATTACCATGATTGCTCCCAGGTAGCAGAACGAATGCTCTGGCTCTTTCTGGTTTGAGGGTCATCATGGCCAGGGTTTGTGCCTTTTGGTTGAATGGGCTCACCACCCTTTGATGTCCATTCTGGAATTTTTTTTACAGGATCAAGATTGGGAAAGTGGAAGTGAGGCAGAGGGGGAGAGCTGGTACCCCACCAACATGGAGGAACTAGTTACAGTGGATGAGGTGGGGGAAGAAGAAGACTTTATTATGGAACCGGACATCCCAGAGTTGGAAGAAATTATGCCCATTGACCAGAAGGACAAAATCTGCCCTGAAATATGTCCCTGTGTGAAGACTACCTTAGACCTGGAAGTGGCCAAGGATTTGGATTTCATTCATGAAGGAGTTAAGACCATAGGGAATGGGGCCGCAGAAATTAGCCTCAAATTGCCCAGACAACTGTCTTCTTCCATGAGCTGTCCCGGTGACACGAACATGGAAGTGCCTGGCCTAAATCTGGATGCTGAGCAGAAGCCAGCTGAATGCGAGACAGGCCTCTCACTGGAGGATTCCGACTGCTATGAGAAGGAGGCAAAGAGAACGGAGAGCTCAGATGTGTGTCTGGCCCCTGCAGCCCAGGAAATGTCTTCCCCCCAGCCAGCGGAGGAGAGGGCCCAGCAGCCTAGCCCCTTTCCGGATGACTGCAAGGCCAGGGGGTCCCCCGAAGATGGGGCTTGTGAAGGCAGTGCCCAGGAGGAGAAAGCCAGCCCCCCTCCTGAATCCGACCTCCAAAGCCAGGCTTGCCAAGGAGTATTGACCGAGGGTAACTACTTCCCTTTTTCTCGTGGATGGATGGGTGGACCGGACCACTGCTGCCCGCAGGAAATGCGGAGTGGTGCAGGCTGGAACAGAGCTAAGGGAGCTTTCAACTCATGTTAGAGAAGTGCAGGAAGTCCTGTAGGAAGGGAAGGAAGCCCCTAAGGGCTTGGTTAGACTGTGAGAGCTTTCGGGCAAATATTGTAAAGGAAACCAGTTGTGGGGGGCAGTATGTTCTGAGTACTCAAATAAGCTAGACTTTCTCTGTATTTATGGGGGCCCGGATGGGCATGGACAACTAAAAGTAGGTCCCTTGGGATCAGCCAGCTAGTCTTGCAGGCAAATCAGAGGAGCCCGTGGCTATAATCTTTGTGTGGGTGGTGAGAAATCAGTAGATGGGAAAGGAATAAGGCCTTATTCAGGAATATGCCTTTTTTTCCCTTTTCCTGCTCAGACCCAGTTTTCTGTAGGGTCTGACAGTGATAGAAGCCTTGTCCCAGGAGCAGCTCTGCCTCCACCAGAGGTGATGTAGTGGCTATGCCTGGCACTGTGACATCATGCAACAGAGAGTTTAAAATAGACCAAGCCATGGCTTCTCTGCCAAGTGGAAACAGATCCATTAAGGGCTCTGTGGGGGAGAGAGGGATAGTAGCCCTTAGGATTCTCATAGTGAAAATAACTGGAGATTCATTTTACCGAAAGCTTGCGGCATACCCCGGGTGGAAGCGAGAGTCAGAAAATAGAGAGGAAAAGCTGAAAAATACACATTTCTACTGAGAGCCTTATGGGTGGCACAGGCTGGCAGGTGATCTGGCCGCTTGGGCTTGCCTCCGTGTCAGGCTGACCTGAGCTGTTTTTCACCTGCCGGGATTTGTGTCTCCATGGAAACCGTGCCGTGGACTGCCTGCTTGTTGCTAGAGAAACACTGAGACCCACATTGGCTAGAGAAGCAAGAATAAAGGCAGACTGACGTTTTCACCTCGCTCTGATGGAACCCTTTTATTTTGCAATCTAGGTCTCAACATGTGCCAGTGTTAGTAGTTTACTAGCTTACCACAGTGTTTGGAGTTCATATTTAATGACATTGCTTCGTGAGCCTGGAGTGAAAATGGCACGGCCTTTTATGTCAGCCTCGGTGGATGTCAGCACAATTTTTGCCCTGCAACAACTGCTCTGTTTGCAGAGGTGGGGTGATACTGACTTGGGGGGTGAAAAGGGTGCATCATCTCAGCTGAAGGCATTAACGGCCCATCCCCCCAGGCCAAGTGCAAAGATTTGCCAAGTTTTCTTGTGTGTGGCATTCTTCTGGCAGTGGAAAAGACTCTTAATTATAGCGCTTTGGTTCTAATTAGCAGCCATGGCCCCAGCCTCATGTGATTAAGCAGTCAAGGGACAGTGCCCAATCACCAGTGCAGGGAACAGAATTCAGGGACTCTTGGAGGCTGTGTTTCATTTGTTTTTTGCCTTGGTGTATGTTTTTCAGAAAACTCCAGGTACATGGAAATGAAATCTCTGGATGTGAGATCACCGGAATATACCGAAGAGCCCCTTTCTTTGCCTTCCTGGGAACCAGAGGATGTGTTCAGTGAACTTAGCATTCCTCTAGGTGGGTGAAACACAGTCTTTCCTGAAACTTGGCACCAGGAAATGGCAGTTCCATGGCAACTTCTAAGAGCTTGAGAGGGTTTTCTGTCATTCTGTTGTTATTGTTTTTAACATACGATGCAATGACCTAGATTTGCAGGTTGAGTTTCTTGTAGTCTCAGTCTCCCATGGTAGACACACAAGACACTACGCAGGACCAGCCTAGAGCAGCACTGTGCTGAGAACCCAAAGCCGAGAGTCCTCTTTTCCCTGTCAGAGAATGCTTTGTTCTTAACCACAGAGGCTGTAAGTGCAGTTCTTACTCCGGCAAGGAGGCAGAGGCTCAGGGGCCTCCGAGGGGCCGACAGAAAGGAACCTTCACTAAGCCAAGGAAGGTAGTACATGCCAGCGATCCTACCACTCAGTGGGCTGAGGTAGAAGGATCACCAGAAGTCAACCTGGGCGACTTAGTGAGTCCAAGACCAGTCTGGACTACACAGTGAGACCCTATCTCAAACAAAACAAAATAAAACAAGCAAAGAAATGAATCTTCTCTGCTACTACCTTCCTCCTCTCCATGTTCCCAGCCCTTCCCAAAACAATGCTGCATTTTTTCTCTGTGCAGGACCAGCTTCTCTGAGGCATTCAGCGATGCCAAAGAGACTGTGTTTGGGGGCAGACCGAACAGGTGATAAAGGGAGAGACCTGGGTTCTTGTCCTTCCTATTCCATTTATGGGTGGCCGTGTCCCCCTAGACAAACCATACCCTCTGACTCCCAGTGTCGTCCTCTGTAATGTGGAATTGGGCCAGATCAGTTGTTTTCCAAGAATGGAAATGTTGGAGTGGGGAGGGGAGGAAGTGTACTAATAGAGTGACTAGGACACATTTTCAAAGAGGAGATCGAAGCAATCTCGGGGTAAGGAGAGAAGGTACTTTAAGAAAGTTTCCTGGGATATTCCCAGCCAGTATCATCTCTGAGTCTTTGCATTGACTCTAAAAGGTTGGGAAGCAATGAGATAAAGGAGGAGCAGCCACTGTTCAGAGGGAGGGCCGGGGTAGTGTCACTTGAGAAAGTGTCACAAGCTAGCACGAGAAGCCGACGACTACATGTCTGCTCATCCACTCTTACTGTGGCTGCTCACCCTTCTCATCCAGGTTTCTCTTTTCTTCTCCTCTTAAACAATCTCTTGCTATTTTCTTTCTTCCATATGTACTGCTTTTGTAGTCAGATGAAAGAGCAACTTTTCTTTCTTGTTTGTTTGTTTGGGGGCACGCTTGTTGCATGGCATCTCCAAAGGCAAAAATTGAAATACAGAAAGGACAGGCTTTAGCAGGAATGGCAGTGGCCCTAGTTGTCTCCTAGGAAACTTGTGTGAAGCTTGCCTCTCAGAAGCTACAGTTTATCCATGCATTCAGTCAGTCAGCAAGCATTTGGTGGATGACTTGACACTGTACTGGGTGCTGTGAGGGAGCCAAGAATATGACACAAGTCTCGTATCATCCAAGAACCTGGATTCTAATTGACACATGCAAAAATTAAGAATGAATTCTGCTTCCTTGTAATTCATGTCTTTTTATTATTGTTTTTCATTAAAGAAAGTGTGAAAGGTTATTGTAACAAATTAAACAAATAAGAATCATGCAAAATAAATACTAAAGATGTTATTTCTCCAGTCTCTCCCCAGCTTCCTGAGATGGCTACTGTCATGTCCATAGATAATTTCTCTCCTATAAAAATGGGATTGCAAGGTATACATCATGTTCTGAGGTTTGCTCTTCTCATTTAATAGCAGGTCTTAGAGATCCCTTCACATCAGTATGCAGAGAACACATTCTTCTTAACCACTGCAAATATTCCATCATAAAAACACTACCATAAATTGCTGAGTCTTTTCTCTGCTAGTAAGCATTCAGGTTGTTTTATATACTTGGTTTATCCACTGGAAAAATGCTATAGCAGCTATGCTTTTATGGTAACCACTCGCTATACAGGCAGTATTCCTCATGCTTTGAATGTATTATTTCATTTGACAGTCTCAAAACATTTAAGAGGCAGGTATTTTTGTTCCTGCTTTACAGATAAGAAATCTGAGGTGCAGAGTGTCAAAGCTAATGCTTGGCACCGACTAGAATCAGGATCCAAATTCTAGTAGTCTGTTTTTATCCTCTGCCTTCTGCTGCCTTCTAGATGTGCTAGTTCAGATACCTTTGAGTACATCAGCATTTCTGCAGGGCAGGATGCTAGCAGGAGGGGTTGTGGGGCCATATGCATTTGCATTCAAAACTTTTATAATTGCTACTAAACTGCACTCCAAAAAGATGATACAATTTTCACTCATACCTTGAGGAAGAGCTCCCATTCCCTATGTCCTCGCCAACTTGATGATCTTAATTTTTAATCTTTGCCAACCTGTTAAGGAGGAAAATGGTAGCTTATTTTGTTTTTAAACAAATATATTGAGGTACAGTTGACATACAATAAAATACATATACTAGGTGTACAGTTCTGTTAGTTTTGACATATATGTGTACTGGTAAGACCATCACCACAATCAAGATTGTGAATATATCCATCATTCCCAAATTCTCTCAGATTCCTTTATAATTCCCCACTCCCCACACTTCAACCCCCAGATAACCACTTACCTGTTCTCTGTCTCTAAATGACAGTTTGCATTTTCTAGAGTTTTATGTTGAGGAGTCTTTCAGTATGTACTTGTTTTGCCTGATATTATTGAGCTGCATCTGTATGGTTGAATGTCCTGATGGTCTCTCTTTGCCATTGAGGAGTTCTGCATTGTGGATATGGATATGTATTCTGTTTGTGAGGGACGTTTGAGTTGTCTCCAGTTTGGGAAATTACTGATTGTCTTCAGTTAGCTTAGCTCATTGGTCCCCCGGGGAATGGTATTTTCTGCGTTTGGCAGGTGAGCGAACTGAAGTCCAGAGATGTTGTCAAGATCACATAGCAACTTCAGATATGGGCTCAGAACTTCTAGTCTCTGACCACCCTGCCCTCCAGGACAGGCAGCAGCACAGCATAAGAAAGGCAGTTTCTATACGGAAGTTGAGAGTCCTGGGTTTAAACTCCATCTGTACTATTTGATGGCTGGGTGACAAAGAGCAACTTGTTCAACCTCTCTGCTTAGATTTCTTCAGCTGTAAATCAGATAGTCTACCATGCAGACTTACTTTGACAGTTAAATGAATGAACATGTGTAAGGTCTTGATGCCTTCCGGTAGAAAGTACTTACTAAGGGTTGCCCATCGTTTCTGTTCGTTCATGAAATACTGAGACCTACTCCTCTTCCTATGGACGCAAATCCTGCACCCCCCAGGATTGGTCACTCCTGGCAGAGAGATTTCCATAGAGGTGAGAGACAGTTTTCGGGCTTTGTCCTTAGGAAAAGCAAGAAGGAGGAATGAGGGGGTGCCAAAGCCTGGCCACCCAGAGGACGTGGCTGGGAAGGGCACTGCCTGTGTAACTCAGGCCAGCTCTGTGTGGCCCTGGCCAGTTTGAGCCTGCCAAGGTCTGCTTGTACCAGAACCAAACAGCATTGCCGGCAAAAAAGTAAGCTTCCCTCTCTCTCCACCCTGGGCTTTACTAGGATGTCAGTGTCGTAATTACCTGTGCCAGGAGCTATTATTAGAAGATAAATGCAGCTTTAATGATCATCCTTAATAGAGCCTGAGAAGTGGGAGGACCTGGTGACTCCAGCATTTGCCAGGCTTTGGCAATATCTCTTGGTGCTGCCACGCTACACCTCCACGCTCTTGAGGCCCCCTGAAGCTGTGGTGTGGGCTCTGGGGTTGTTCTGAGTCCGGTGCCAGCTATTCGGGGATTTGCCTGCCCCGGCTTCTCTTTCCCTAGTGCTGTCCTTGATTCCTGTTACTGACTCAACCCCCTGGGGAGGGTGGAGGGAGAAAGTTACCGCCAAACTCTGGAGCAGGTTCTCTAGGTGACCTTAGGGGAAGGGTGAGTGGGGGTCAGATGGAAAGGTCAGGGCTTAGATACTTGGCTTCTGTGAAGACCTGTTTAGTACATTTCCAGGCAAACAAACAGGAAAAAACACATTTCCAAACTTAAATATTTTTTGATCACCAGTCAAAATGATGGGTGTTTCCCTATCATACTGTGTGTGTTGTCATTATTCCTGTTTTATAGATGAAGAAACAAGTCTCAGAGTGGTTAACTAATGTGCCTGAAGCCTCCCAGCTTAAGTAAAAGTACCAGGTCTATCTGATCCTAAGTGCCATTTTCTCTGCACTATGCTGTGGTTTCCAGTCTTCTTTTAACTTTATGTTTTATTGGGGGTCAGGCAGAAGTAGCCTTCGGTCAAGTTAAATCCCACCCTGAAGCCCACAGACGGTAGCTACACCACTGTGGCTGAAAAGGGCCGTGGCGGTCGCTCAGTCTCCATGGAGGATCAGGAGGCAGCTGTACTCTTGCTGGGGTCCCAGGAGAAGCACGAAGACCCTCATCCCGGGCTGCGCAGGGAACCCCAGAGCTCTGTCCCAGTGCAGCCCGCTCAGAGGCTGTGCCCTGCTCAAAGCCCTCTTCTAGCAGTGCTCTCATTGCCCAGCTACCCTTCTCCAGGAAGGCATGGACCTCAGCCCGCTGTGGAGCAGCGGCCAGTGGAAAACTGTTTTGCGGTCACAAAGGAAAGAGGCAGGCCTTACCTAATGCTTCTTCCCAGTGACAGCCAGAGGCCTGTGTGAGAGGAGGAGGGAACGACTGGTTCCCAGCAGGCCCCTTGCCCATCCATCCTCTATAGTGACAGTGGGAAGAGGGGCAGAAGACGAATGACATCCAGGCCACTCTGGGTGGCTGAGCTAGGAAACTCTCTCATTTCTGTGGACTGCCGCTGACTGCCGAGGACTCGGCCAGCTACGTGGCAGTTAGAGAAAACCCAGCCCAAGGAGACCTCAGGCCCTAAGCCACAGATTAACAAGCAGTCAAGGCAGGACTCTGGCGGGGCTCTTGAGTTCACTCTCCCTCTCCTGCCCTCCCTCAGGGCTGCTCCTTTACATAAGAAGAGGTTTATTTGAGATGGAAAAAAAAAAAAAAGAAAAAACACCAGTTCTAATTACAAGTCCAGGCCACAGCTGTGTGGCGGGGGCTCATAGGCAGCTGGCGCTGTCCTGGAAGGCAGGAGAGAGAAAGTGAAGGAATGGGAGGAGCTGGGGCTTGTGGTCAGGAGGCGTCCAGGGCCCTCGTTAGTCATGGGTCTCCTGTTTTCCTGCTACAGAGTGTGGCCGCCTCTCCCAGCACTGCCCAGCCAGCAGAGGAGAAGGGGGCAGCTATTCTGCCTGCACACAGGGAGGCTGCAGCCTTCAAGGGGTCCTTGGCGCCTGAGCCTCTGCTCCTTTGCTTAGTTCTTTGGCGTCCTGCTTTGTACAGCTCTCATACCCTCCTGTCCCTGGAGCGTGACCATCAGGTGCCCCGTGTGAGGGCGTGTGTGTTCACTCCCGTTTCCAAAGGCAGAACCTGAGGTTCAGGAGCAGTTTTGTTGATCTGCCCGAAGCTGCTTAGATCCTTAGTGTCTGACCTGGACCATCTCAGACTAGGGCTCTTTCCACTCCGCTGGCCACGCCCTCCAAAGGAGAACTGCGACCTTGCACACACCTTCACAGAGGCTGTGCTAGCCACCATTGCTTCAGAGCAATGACACTGTGACACTGTACCTTGGCCATGACTAGGGGGCATGGTCTCTCTTGAACTCAAAAGGCCTCCCAGAATTCTGGGGTTTATATTTAATAAATCACAAAAGAAATGCTACTAACTGATATAAAGAAGGTAGGGAAAGGCCCATGGTGCATTGTTAGGTGAAAAGGGAGATGCAGAATTGCATTCAATCATACAGTATGATTGAAACTGTGAAAAAAGAAAAGGTCCTACATATAGGTAAATCACATTTGGACTGGAGTGATTCTGTGCAATTTTCCCCCCTGACTTTTAATTATTTTAAAATTTTTTCTTTAATAAACATAACTCTTTTAAAATACAATTTATTTATTTTTTTGAGACAGGGTCTCCCTATGTAGTGCAGGCTGGCCTTGAACTCAGTAAGATCCTCCTGCCTCAGCTTCCCAAGTGCTGGGATTACAGGTGTGCACTACCATGCCTGGCAATAAACATAATTCTAAACGTAATTGTAAAAAATGGAGAGAATTCTTCTAGAATCACAATAGCTGCAGGAAGGGATACAGCATGGAGACATAAAACCTAAACAAGTAAAATGTCAGCACCCCCCTTCCTCCTTTCCCTGGGAGCAGTGTGGGTCAAAGAGCCTGGTTTTCAGTTCTAAGAAGCAAGAAGCAGAGCACTTAAAGCTAAGTACTCACTACCCTGCTTAGAGCTCAGCCCTTACACTCACGACCACCTAGAATCGAGCAGGCGTTTATTTCTCTATGACTTGTGTTGCAAGTGAGGAGACTGAGGTGGGGCACAGAAAAACCAGGGACCCAGAGCAAGTCAGTAGCAAGGGAAGGGTGAAGCTCGCGCTCTCCTCTCCCTGATGGCTCCCAGAGCCACAGGGGCTTCCCACTGTTCCCCTAACACCTGCCCGTTCATCGCCGTCTCTCTCCAGGCGTGGAGTTCGTGGTTCCCAGGACTGGGTTTTACTGCAAGCTGTGTGGGCTGTTCTACACCAGCGAGGAGGCTGCGAAGGTGAGCCACTGTCGCAGCGCTGTCCACTACAGGAACTTGCAGGTAACTGTCAGTCTTCCTTGGTCAGCAGCCTGGGCTGGGGGGGCGTCTCCACACTCTCACCAGGCGTCTAGAGTCTTCAGCTGTGCTCGCCCCTGTGACCAGCTCCCACATTCAAGGCTTACTCTGCACACAAGAAACCAGGGCACACACAAGCATACGGTTCACACGTGCTCCCTTGTTTCTGTGTCCTTCCCCTCATGGACAACTGATCCAGCCGGCTGCTCCATGGGGTGGCTGGCTCCGCTGGGCTCCCCGAGCATCTGTCTCCACTGTAGTAGTTATACTACTCCGTTTGGCCTGGCCTTTTAAACATCTGCCTCCCTAGCTAGATGGAGGGTAACTCAAATTAGTCTGGTGTTTTCCTGGCCCAGGGCAGGGCTGACTCCTTTCCACCAGTCCTGGATGTTCCAGCTGCTCGTATTTTTGTTTCTGTCTCTCTGGGCAGGTAAGCCTGTTTGCTAGAATAAGATCCACAATTGTGTTCCATTTAAACGTTCATCCAGACGGCATGGAATTATCACAGGCAAACTAGGTACCAGACAGTGTCCCAGGCTCCCGGGAGCCAACAACAAAAACAGACAAAATCTTTGTCTTCATGGGGCTTCTGTTCTAATTTAGGAGACAAGCAATAAACAAAACACATTATGTCGTATATTAAAAGGTCACGTATAAAATGAATCATATTTCATCCAATCCAAGGTGCTATCGTGTGTAGGACTCAGTTTTATTTATGTGATGCTGGGGGATCAAACCCAGGGCCTGAAGCCCTCTAAGCACAGATTCCATTGCTGAGTTACATCCCAGTCTAAGACATTATTTTTTGTGTTTCTGTGTCCTTCACTACAAAAAGCAATGCTGTTAATTAAATAATGAGACTATCAATTATAAAATGTATTTTGATTTCACAGACGTTAGTGAGTTTTAAAAGGAATCAATCAGCCATTTAACCATGGTAATAAGTTCCATAATGTGTAGCCCACCTGATGTGTAGTATATTTGCATATTTATGCTTGCAGTATACTTATACCATATATAGTATAGTACGTGGTCTTCATGATTAACTTCTGGCACAGGCTGGGTTTAACAGAGGCAGGCTTGGTTGACCATCTTGAGGCATGTCCCACTTTTACTGGTTGTTTGATTCACAAGGCTCAACTCAAGAAGTCCTGTGTTGTCTGTGCTCCAATTCTAGACCAGGCATTCCTGTCAGAATTGAACCGTTAGAGTCACTGATCTAGTGGTTCTTAGCCAGGAGTGTGAATTAGAATCACCTGGACAGTACTTTGAAAGCCCATATACTAGGTCAGATACTATTCAGTAGACAGGGATATGTAATTTAAGAAAGTTCTCCAAATGACTAGAATATGCAACCCTAGTTAGGAAATTCAGGCCTGAGCCGACTCTCTTGTTTTGTAATCGAGGAAACAGACTCAGAAGAGAAGCTATGCGACTTGTACAAGGCCGTGCAGATGGTAAATTAGTGGGTCCCGGGCAAGATCACCTGATTCTTAATTGCTTTCCTCTTTTTACTCTACTAAGCTGGTCTTGGAAACTGACACCCATAGTGTCCCAGCCTGAGTCACCGTTTGTAAGAGACTACCATTGACCATGCTTGGCTGTGCTGAAACTCAGGTCATTCAAGCTTCTTGATTTCCCTCCGGACAGCAGCTGGTCTGTGACCGAGGCAGCTACAGGTCCTGCCTCTCCGGGGGCAGTGGGGAGGCTTGACTTGGCCAGAGCAGGGAGTTCAGACTGAGGACAGTCGCTGAGCCCAAAGAGATCATCCCCTCCACAACACAGTGACACCTATAAATGGCAGGGCAGGAATGGGTCCTGGAGGTCAGCTGGTCCTCATTCCCCCAAATCTTCATCCCAGCTGGTATCTTTTTAAGATGCAGCTTCCAGGAGTCCACTTTCTACCCGCTACCTCAATACTTCCAGGCTGGGCCCCAGAATCTGCATTTTAAACAATCTCTCCAGCAAGCTCTGTTAACTTGATGTGAGACCCTTTAAGCTACCCAGTGTTCTTGGTGGGATTATATAACCCCACAGGGCTCAAGGCTGCTGTCAGTCAGCGTGAGAAGTGCTCAGGCTTTCTGGAGCAGTGCACTACACTGTGTTCTGGGCTCCTGGGCCAAACCCCAGCAGACTCCCTCTGCGTAGCTGGCCGGGGCCATTCCTGTGGTCCCCAGTGGGTACAGACATTGGCTAAGCCCTGCACACCGGCCAGCCTCGGTTCAGGTTTCCCCAGTGCACCTGTCCGGGAGCCAGAGCCTCCATCACAGGCTTCCCAGATAGGGTTTCTGTCAGGGCTGTTGACAGGATGCCTTCATCCACACAGCCTCGCCCACCCCACTCCAAACTGCACGCGTGAAGGGTGAAGAATTCAGACCTGAGCAGCAAGTGCTGGCTGACACCTTAGTTGGGCCACTTGTAAAGTTAGCACCCACCAGGGGGCCTCGAGGTGGGGGTCGGGGGTGGCCCTTCGAGGCAGGGAGCAGGTGGAAGAGTCTCCATACTCCCCGAGCGAGCCCTGCTGCGCCCCGAAGCTGGTCACGGTCATGTGAGAACTACCAGGAGTGATGTGGCAAAACAGGTGGAGCTGTCTGGTGGGAGAGCAGCCACCTGCTCGGCTGCAGCCGGGAGAGGGGAGGAGTCTGACCACACAGCGCTCGGGAGCAACCCGCACTCCCGAGGGTGTGTTCTGTGCCAGGCACTGTGCTCAACACGCGATTGCCTCTCAGTTTCACAGCGGTGCTGTGCAGGGCTGGCTGTGGGCTCCCTCGCTGCACAGGTGGCAGGGGGGTTCAGCCACAGGCCTGCCGAGAGCTAGCTAGGACTTGAACCCAGATCATGTGATGAGAGAGTTCAGAATTTTAACCCCTGTGCTAGACCTAACGCTTTGGACTCTTCGTCCAGTGCTCTTTCTGCTGTGCCTGCTGCCCTGACTCGGTCAGAGGACAGCGCCCCTCGCCCAGCCTGCAGCCCAGCCTTTCCCAGCCCTCTCCCTGCACCCACTCCAGGGCAGGCCCAGCTGGGAGTCTCCAGTCTCAGCAGAGAGTGCTCTGTGAGTGATGCAGGCAGCCCCCCAATACAGAGCAGAGGGGCCCATCTTCAGTCCCTCGCAGGACCTCCAGGCTGTCCCTCAACCCCTCCACAGCCTGGCTTGACAGGAAGCAGGGTGCCAGGAGTCTGCATTGTCACAGTGGGCTGGCAGTGGCCTCTGCTGCCCTCCAGCTGGGCTTCCTCTGCCTCTGGGACAGGCTGCCAAAAGACTGGCTCTTTCTGGAAAGCCAAGGGCATGTTCCCGAGGACCACTGCAGGTGAGGGTTGTGGAGGTTGTTGCTATTGTTAGTAGCTGTACTTCCTACTTTTCCACCAGACACCCATCTGTAGGTAGGATAGTGGGGTCCTAGAGTAATTGGTGAGGAGGGGTGGCCCCCCCAGTGGACACAGACTTAGGAGAGGAGCCTGGGCTCAGCCTCCTGCTCGCCTCCCCCACCAGGCCACCACTGACATCTCCCTGCCTTCTTTATTCCTCTCTGCCCACCACAGAAGTACTTGTCCCAGCTGGCCGAGGATGGCCTCAAGGAGACGGTGGGGACAGGCAGCCCGAGGCCCGAGGACGGCGGAATGGTGCCACACTTCGAAAGGAAAAAACTCTGAGGCGATGCTGCTCCTGCTGCCACTAGAGGCTAGAAGAGGAGGCTTGCTGAAGTGGGGCCTGTCCGAGTGACGCAGAAGGGGAGTGCAGGCCATGCAGGGCATGTGGCTTGTTTGTTCCTGAGACTCATTAGAACGCCCCTCCGGAGACTCCAGGAGCCAAGTCACCCGGCATGTCCAGCCTGCAGAGGGCCACCGACTCTCTTCCTGCGGACTCTTGCTTCTCTCCCAGAACCTTCCGATTTGCGTTTTTCTTTCTTCCTCTCCTTCCTTTCTCTCTCCCTCCTTCTGTGCCAAGGATCATTTCCTTTTCATAAAATCCAACTTCTCAGGGATTTCACAGTGTTTAAATTCTTGATAGGATATAACAGGTCAGGTCTGGCTGAGTCATGCAGGAAAAGGTTTAATGGAAACTCTTGAGTCTAAAGAGCCACTTCTTCAGAATCTTCAGCCCGTTCTGAGCCTGGCGTCCATGTGTCCTGTGTGGGCCACTCATAGGGGAGCTGAGTCAGGCTCTGCAAACCTGAGAGGGGCCACCAAAGACAGCCTATTGGCAGAAATGGGGAGTGGGTTCTATATACAGTGCTTCTTCCAGCAGGACCTTACCTTTATGAAAATCTCCTGAATTTTTGTTTTTCTTTTTCTGAGGCAGAGACTTGTTACGTAGTCCAGGCTAGCCTTGCATTCATGAAGTAGCCCAAGCTTGCCTTGAACTCGTGGCAATCCTCCTGCCTCAGCTTCCTGAGTGCTGGAATTATAGGCATGCACCACCACGCCTAGCTTAGAAAACTCCCATTTTTAGTATCTCATCCTCCCAGTTAGTGCAGAAATCTACCAGATTTACATGCCTTAAAGTAAACTCAAATTAGTTTTATGGGAAAGAAAAGAGCCCTGCGTTGTGGAAGCTGATAAATTCCTTCAAGACTTATTTCCTTCCTCTTGAATTCAGGAGGTGTTAGGATTTTTTTCTGTTCTAAACAATGAATTTTGTATAGATTCATTTTAAGTAAAAATGAGAATAGAAGCGTCTTCTCCCTGCAGCTAAAACAGCAGTTGGTGTGGGCTTAGGTGGACTGTTGGCCTCTGCACCGGAGGCACTGGCTGGAGACACACAATAACAAGGAAATGGCATCTTTGACTCATCCTCGTGTTTGCGCAGGGGGCAGGGGAGGAGAGGGTGTCCAAAGACCTCCCAGTGGAACAGTTTTAAAATGATCTGTCAGCAGGGGCGAAGCTAAGGAGGTACAAGGCTACAGGGCTGAAGGGTGGCATTTGAGGTCAGGCAGGTATTTGCAGGCAGCCGTTTCCAGCCAGGCAGAGGACAGAAGGCTGCTCAGGGCTGCCACACTTGTAGACTTTGATGTCAAAATGTCATGCAGAACAGAGTCCTTAGTCCCCATGGGGTCCGGGCCTCAGGCGCCAGCTGTTTGGGCTGCTTAGTCTGCTATGCCAGCAGCGGAGACAAAGGTGCTAGAAGAAGTGAGGGACTGCCAGAGATAGGGAGTGACCCCGGGAAGAAGGTCAGACGGAACCTGACGCTGTCTGTGAACTGACTCTCTGGAAGGCACCCTCCATGGCTTAGCTGGTGGAAAATAAAACGAGGAGGGTGGATGGGCTGCTCCTCCCTGGGAGCTTCTCGAAGTTTTTATTCCTGAGTGTGGACAGGCGGACTGGGCAGGGGTTGTGTGGGGTTGTTGTTGCATTTTCTTCTTCTGCACATTCTGACCTCTGCACCAATGTAAGAAGGGCAGAGAGAGCAACGCTGGCATTTGTCAGTGAGGAAACTGAGGCACAGAAAGGCAGCAAATGCAGAACCTAAAGTGATCATGTGTCAGCCCAGAAGCCTGTGGTCCCTGGCAAGAAAAGAGTTGGGAAGCTGTGAGAGAGAAGTTAAGGCGATAGCAGAAGAAGAGAGGCCAGCCTGGACACGTGTGTGGTGAGGAGAGGCTAGAAAAGCAAGAAACTCGAGCCTCTGTCACCCGTCCTGGGCTGTGGGGAGGTTGGTCTCAAATAGAAAAGACTGAAGAGTAGGGCTCAGCCCAGCCTGTTCCCCTGCCCACGCCACAGGTTATACCAGCATTCTGTACCCTCGCTACGCCTCCTCCGCTTCTCAGAAAACCTTTCACCTTATGTGTCTTTATTCCCAAGGAGGAGCTCTGAGTCTGCCTGGAAAAATCTACCACCTCCCTCACAGACTGGAACTGTGCGCTATCAGAGCTCTATCCCCTAGCAGAGTGGAAGTGGATCTCAGCAGCTCCCACCTTCTCCACCCAGCAGCGTTTCCATAGAAACCCAGAAGGCTGACTTCCCAAGCAACGTACACAATGGCTCCCTGGCTGGTCCACTGACCTTCATGCTAAAAAGCTGGAGGAAGCCCCCAGCAGGGAGAAGAGGCTGTCTCTATGTTCAGCCACAGCGTTAAAGCTTAAAACCATCAGAGATTCTATTCGTGTGTGTTTATATACATATATGTATATATATTTATTTTTATTTATTTTTATACAATTCCATTGGCTTGGCCCTTCACCAATCCTATAATTTGCACTTTTTATTCCTATGTGTGTCACACAGTGCAGTATTAAAGGCAACCAGGAAAATATTGATTTCTGTTCTTTTTTAAAGCTTTTTCTTCAGTGTTTTTTGGTCACACTTTTTAAAGTGTCTCCTCTAAAAGTTGCTTGAAAGCAATTGCTACCTTGAACAACAGATTCATTTGCACCCTGGGTTAATACAACAGAAGCCCTGTGTAATTTTCTTTTTCATTGCTAACACCTGGGATAAATGTACTCTACAGTTCTCCTGAAGAATTTGGTGAACTTGACGTTGGTGTGAGCAGTGGCCGTTAGTATCAGGGTTTCCCATCCTTATAGTCCAAGGCGGTGATCTATTAGATTATACTTGAACTGGACCAGTTTGTTCTGCAAGATAGGAGAAAAGAAAAGAAAAAAAAAGAAAAAAAAAAAAAACTAGTTCATTTAAGTGCGAACTTGTAAAGTTTTGAAGTTTGTTGAGTGTCTTATAAATTGTTACGCTTTTCCTGATCTGTATAATTGACTGCAAAGTGTTTGTTTTTACAAAAGAAAAAAAAAAAGATTTTTAATAAAGAGAATTGGAAAGCTTGTGAGTGGGTGGCCATGTGTCATACAGGGATCCCTTGTCATTTGGCTGTGGACACCCCATTGTCCTGGCCTGAACGAGGGGACATGCCATATATGGTGGCTCCATCCCTTGTGACGATGGAGATCTGATGGTCAGTGCTGTAGTGGACTTAGCAGGCCCAAGCAGTGGCTGGTGCTGGCGCTGCCACTGCCATCCCTGTGACTCCCTAAGGCCCACTTCCTTGGGTGTAAAAGAGGATAATGATATTAATCACCCCCAGGGTTACAATAATTGCTGGTGAGTGCATTTGGTGTGCTGCAAAGCACCAAGTCTTATTTTTGCAATCTGTAAGCTTCAAATTTCAGAACTTCTTTTCAGTTCTTTCTCAATCATTTCTCCTAAGAAGGCAGTGCCAATCTCCTGGGCCCCGTTGGCTAGTCCTTTAAGTGGCTTTAAGCCTTCTCTGGGCCCTTCCCTCTTGTTGGCAGCACTCCTGAATCAGCGGGGAGGGGCTGGGCAGCCTGGACCCAGAGGGCAGAGTGGGGCCACCTATAATTACTGAGAGCAGATTATAGATCTGAAGAAAGTTCCTGTTGAGCCTGTTGCTGCCTGCCACCCCTCCTCCACCCCTGCCCTATGATGGCCATCCTGGGCTGAGCTCAGGCCTCCAGTTCCCAAACAAGAGGCCAAGGGAAACATCCTTATCTGTAGCTGCTCTCTGCACCCAGCTGGACAATCAGGGAATGGGCCTAGAGCTTGTTCTACTGCCCAAGGTCAGGATGTGGGATGCCTACGGGTAGCCCTTGTGCCTAGTCCCAGGGCGTTGCTCTATGTGGCCCAGCTCTGGAGAACACCATCCATGTCGTGGAAGATGGTAACCTTTGGAGTCAAGCAGTTTTGGTGCCCTGCTAGGGACTCCCCACTATGACTTCCTTGGGTGTAAAAGAGAATAATGATATTAGTTACCTCCAGGGTTACAATAACTGCTGGTGAGTGCTTTGGTATGCTGCAGGGCACCAAATCTTGTTTTTGCAATCTGTAAGCTTCAAATTTCAGAACTTCTTCAGTTCTTTCTCAGTCGTTTCTTCTAAGAAAACAATGCCAACTGAGTTACAGTTGTTCCCCCATGTCCGAGGAATCCCATCAGCTCGCTAATGTCCCTGTGGGACCTAGAGCTTGGTTCTGAGCCAGTCCTCTGGGCTGGAGCCCTGACACCCAGATTCCTCCCGGTGCCTACACCTCTTCCCAGGGACCAACCTCAGACTGTCACTGCCTGGACTTAGACACTGGGGTTGCTCCTCACAGTGCCCTTCTAGGTCAGGCCACTTGTGTGCTGATCTTGGCCCCTGTCTGGTCCAAGATCTTTGTTCTTGAACAACCCTTTCTTTGAAAGGGTTGACTGCTCACCTAGGCAGTGGTGAGGCATCGCCCCTAACAGCTCTTTATTGTCTTTTCCTACCATGGTGGCCTTACAGGACCTTTGTCCCACGTGAAGTTCTAAGCACATAAGAGCCCAGAGACCCCTAAATCTTAGTTCTTCCTTTTGCAAGAGAAGAAAAAAAAAGACCAGAGAGAGGAAGTGACTTGCCTAAGGAAGTGACAATTTAGGAGGCTCCAGATCTCTGGGTAATCTTGCTGGGGCCACATGGAAGAACTTAAGCTACTTCAGTTAAATTATGTCAGGAATGTCCTAGGTCTAACTCCACCTGGATTTTTAATCTGGACAAGGCACTCAGGACAAACTGTTGATCCTCATACTTTATGTGCCTCACAATCACCTGGAGAGCTTGCTGGAAATACAGATTCTTGGGCCCCTCCCATGGGGATTCTGGGAATTGGGAAAGCCCAGGCAGTTGCATTTCAGCAAGCCTCTGGGGTGATTCAGTGGAGTGCATTGATCACCGTCCAGACAGTGCCACCCTAGATGCAACTGGGGACTTCCCCAGCAGCTCCTAGAATAGAAGGGGCATTTATTTTATTGAGTGGAGGAGGGTGCAGAAGAGATGAATGGGGACCATTCAAGGTAGAAGCAACTCTAGTTGCTTCTAGGGAGATAGAGAAAAGGAGACCAGCCCGGCCATGGCTGATGGAGCCACGTGATGGGAAGGAGCCGTGTCAGGACCCTGGGTTTGGGACACAGGGCAGGACTCCTATTTACTGCACTTAGGCAAGTCAACCTTCCAGGGCTGTCTTTGTCTGTACCAGTGGCTGGAATCATGGCTGCCATGGGCCCTAGGAAGGCTCCTTGAGACCTGGTGAGATCCCAGCTCTTGCAGACAGAGAACCGTGCAGAACCAGCAGTTCTTCCTGGGAGACATCTGGTCCTTCCGGCATCACCAGAGCCATGTCACTTTCAGCAAGGGACCCTGAGGTTTACTATCTTGCACGAGCCATTACCAGTATTAGTCCTGCTGTGTGTGCACATTTCAGGGACTTTGTCCCTTGGCCTCTTCACAGTGTAAGTGGGGAAAATAAGGCTCAGAGAGACAAAGTGCTTTGCAAAGGGTCAGACAGGCAGGAGGCAGCAGAATTAGATTCCGACTCAGGTCCACACTCAAACCTTGTGCTTAACTACTACTCTCCATCCTAATTTAACTGAA